TTTATTATTTTCAGTATATTTATTTTACTTATATTTTATTTTGCTAAATTAGTTAGTTTATAGCATAGTAATTAGTTTGACATAACAAAAGAAATTTTGTATAAATAGATAAACTTTTTGCTCATGTTGTAAATTAACTCTTTTGCAAAGCAAAGTAACTCTCTTGCGAATACGAGTTTCAATATTAATAAAGGAATCATTTAAAACTTATATCTTTCTGCCTCTTTGTGTCTTTATATAGTCTGATGTGATCCCTACACATTACTTGTAATTGAGTTCGTCATCCGAATTCTTTAATTAAATTGTTTATAATCTCGTCTTTCAAGTTTTCATACTTGATAGATTTTGTTTAAGTCTAACGCGTAAATTTAGTAAAATTAAGAGTTAGGCAGATCCTAACGTCTTAACCGCAGTAGACCACAGTTAGAAATTTCGAGTAGAGACTTAATAACGTGACCAACCCCAAGTTGAAGAATTCCACGGTGACAATACTAGCAAAATAATATTCAAATATAAGTATTTTTTATTAATTATCATTTCGCATGATAGGGTTATAAGAATATATGCTAATCTTTTAACTATCCAGATCCTTTGATTAAAAATCTTCAGAAAAAAATTTTCTTATTATTTCTATATATTAATTTCTAAAATATTTTACAAAACAATTGGCTTATCTTCTATAATACCAAAGATACAAGAAAGGTGATTTGTAAAAGGAATTAGCAAAATGATGAATACTTTGCATAATAACAAAGATCTGAGAATCTCTTTCTTCTAGATATTAATATATGTTACAAAAAATAGATTAATATATTTTTTTATTCAGACTCTTTAGCTATAAATATAAGATAGTATGTATGCAAATTTTATCAAAGTTTTTGCAATTAATATTCTCAAAGGAATAAATATTCTTTTAAGAATACTATTTTTTAGAAGTAAACCCATGTTCGTTATATAGAAAAGGTTTTGATTTACTTTAAGAATTCTTATTATTTAAAGAATTCACCTTAGCTTCATGTAGGCACATCTATCATCAAAAATGTCTTGAAAAGCATCTATTAAAAGAAAAAACAATTTGTCTAAATAAGAAATATAACAAATTTATCAAAACTTTTCTTTCTCTAAAATTCTTTAAGAGATCATAAGATAAATCTACAACCTCAACTATAGAAGATATTACTATTAAACAAGTAAACTCTAAAAATTCAACTCCTATAGGTGAGGATGCTAATACAATTTATATGAACGAACTAGAATTATTAGGTGGTCAAGAATATTTGTCTAAAATTAATGAGATTATTAAAGAAACTTCTAACTAGGCAACTAGCTCTATTGAGGTTATTAGTATTATACTTAGCAATTTCAAAAATTGAATAACTCAATTTTATAAGACTTTAGCAGACAAATCTAATGCTTTATATATGAGAAATGTTCTAAAGAAATTTCTATAGAATTTTTGAAAAATACTGTCTTTTTATCCTATAAGCATACTGTGTATTATGATTGTATTGATATTTTCACAAAAAGTATTCTACCTATCATAAACAAGGTCAAGAAATTCCATTAAAAAGTTCATAGAAAAAAATGTATTAAGGAGTCTTTTATTGAAAATTCCTCAAGCAAAAAAGCAAAAAAGACCAGTAAAAAAAAGGTATTAAGTATACTAAAGTAATTTATAGAAAAATTATTAACTAATATTCCCATTGTTAGTAAAAACTCAAAAGAAACAAGTTATGCAACAGATTCTAAAAGTATTTTTTTGCAACTCTCTGATAAGATAAACAATGTTAAATCTAAAAATAAAGATGCATCTTGTATCCTTATCTCTAACTATTTTGATTTTAGAGAAGCTTTATTTAATTGATATAAGAAATTAAACCTCACTTACAGTAAAGAAAAAGCTTGAGCTTTAGTCAAAAGTGAGGTTAAAAAGGAAATTTCTGAGATGAAACTCTTTGATGATGCTTTGTGAAAAAGGATAGAAAGAACTCAGAAAATGCATAGAATCTAATATAGTAATACCTCTATAAATGTATACTCTATAAATGCATATCCTCTTTATATGCACACTATAGTTCAGTCTCAAGCTCAGGACTTAAAGCAAATGCATACTCTTCATATTCTACACGTACAAAAAATTTTAAGTTCTAGGTATAATTGGAATATCTCTATAAATGCATTTATGTGACTAACATATAAATCTAGCCAATCAAAAACAATTGTTTAGTTATGTGATTGGTTTTATTATCAAAATAAAAAAGTATCAGGTAATATATTTGACTATTGGAAATTTTATATTTTGTAAAAGAAAAAAATTTTAAATTTATTAAAAATAAATAAAATTTTATATTTTTGAGTATTATATAACTTGATCAAAAAGTATTGAGTGAAAGTGTATGAATAAATATTTATATTTTATTATAATTAACCAAATTAGTATTAATTAAGGAAAATTTAGAAGTAAATATTATATTTGAGGAAAAGAACATAAACAATCCTATAAAATAAAATAAGTAAATTGTTAAAAAAGGAATAAAATCATAATTAAATTTCACCATCTATTTAAATTAAGGAATGAATTTCTGGCTATTTCTATTAAAATAAATCATGTTTAATACATTGAAAAAATCAACAAAAAATGTCTAAAAAAATCACTTTCACTGAAATTCAAAAGTAAGACTTTTGTAAATATGCTCGTAATAATAGCAAAAAAACTCAAGCCTAGTATATTAATTAGATTAAAGAACAGTGAGACCTTAGAGTTAATGAAGTATTATTACCTGTACCTTACAAATAGCAGAATTAAAATAAAAATAATAATAAAATTTAAAATATTAATAATAAGCATAACACTAAATACTCTTAGACTTCGTTTAATTCGCAAAATTAGAATTATTATCAATATTTGGAAGATCTTCAGAATTACGTAGATCCTCCGTATTATCAGAATTCGCAGAATTCTCAGTATTTTCAGAATTCTAAATTAAAAGATCGTCATACTGCGTCATCCACGTAACTTCATTATGACTGGTCAATTGCTCCGTTGACAATCCTTCCCCTACTTGAATTTCGAACGTTGTAGTGAGAAATAATTTCATCCTCGAAATCAAGTTCTGAATTTCAATTTTTGTGAGACGTTTCATTTGTGTCGTTGTCAACGTTTTAGTTCTAAGCAATTGAGTCACTCCAATTTCTGAAAATAAAATAAAAGTCTTATTTGATACTTCGTACTGATATAGACTTAAAACTAATTTTACTCGTTTATAATCTACATCTTCTAATGAGTCTAAGAGTTCTCTAATGAAATACATATTCATTAACATTCCAAGTCTATTCTTCAAATTCTTGCAACGTTAGAATTGTTGTTGCAATTTTTGAGTTTTAGTTCAAGGGTTATCCATTTTGTGATAAGGTTTATTCCACTCAGGTATAAGGATGGGTTCCAACTGAATAAGATTGTTAAAGAGATTTTCCATTGTTTGCTAAATTTTCAAGAATTTGAGGTCTATTTATATTCGTTGAAAATTATTGCTTATGTAATCACTACCATTGGTTCTCATGATTGCCAATCATGATATAATTTTAGTAGATCATCATTTACTGGTTTAGCAAGAAGGCGTCCATCTATTTCTCTTAGACGATAAGATCCATTTATCAAAATCTCATGAATTCGATAAGGTCCTTTCTATTTAGGTTCTAGTTTGCCAAAGAATTGATTGATTCGTGCAGCATCATAGTACAAAACTTTTTATCCTATGTCAAATGATGTTGGCTTAGCCAAATGTTTGTTATGTGTTGTCTTTTGTTTATTTTTTATGGCGATCATTGTTTGTTTTGCTTTTTCCCTAATGTTAGGTAATTTTTCTATGATTTGTCGAATTCTGTCGGTCAAATTTTTATTTTTCTGGTTAGTATGATCGTCAAGAGGTAGTTTTGCTTCTCTTCCATATGTTAACAGAAAAGGTGTCATTTTGGTAGTTGATTGTTGGGCTGTTCGATACGCGAATAATACAGGAGCTATGTGCAAGTCCTATTCAGTTTGTTCTTCTATAATTTTTGCTAAGGATTCTTTTAAGGTTTTATTAAACCTTTCCACTTGTCCATTTGTTTGTGAATGGTAAGGCATAGAGTTATGATGCTTAATTCTAAATTTATCCATTAGTTTTTTTATCATGACATTGTTGAAATGAGTGTCTCAATCTGATAAAATTTTTATAGGATATCCATGTCTACAAATAATTTCTTCGTAGAGAAAAAGAGCAACTTGGCTAGCAATGGCTTCAGCAACAGCTCTTGCTTCTGGCCATTTTGTAAACATGTCAATAGCTATAATAATATATCGATTTCCTCAAAGAGTTATAGGTAAAGGGCCAATAAAGTCAATTCCTATTTGATAAAAGGGCTGTGAGGCAGTATAGGATGTAGTTCATTGGTCTTCCTCTTCGTTAACAAGAATCACAGGTTTTAATATATTCCTTAATATCTTCATACATCTGTGACCAATAGTAACGTGTCCTAATCTTGTTGAATATTATTTCTCGTCCAAAATGTCTAGCTATTGGATCGTTATGCATCATATAAAGGATGGATTCTAATTCATATCGTTTGAGAACTTATAGCAAATGTCCAGGTTTCTTCTATCAAAACGATACAATTTTGAATTTTGAATAGTAAAGAATTTCGCCATATTTGTAAATCTTTTCTTTTTCTTGTTAGTTTGAATATGATCAGGGTATTTGTTATGAGTTAAATATTATTGGATATTGAAATATTGTTGTATATCTATGTTAAATAATTGAGCTGTAAGTCACACTGCTTACACTTACGCTTCCACTCAATTATAATAATAATATATGAGACTTTCACTTACTAGATGCTATTCAACTAGGTATTACCTCTTTAATAAAGTATAAATAAAATACGAAATAATAGTAAGAAAATAAAATACGATTTAATAAGATATAATTAAAAATCTAAGTTAGGGGTTGTGATGCAACTAGAAACAGGGGTAATAAGGGGTTTATAATTATCAAATAATTTATCCAATTCTTCTTATGTCCATTCGTTCTCACTTTGAAAATAATGTGCCTTACAATAAGCTTTGTCTTATCATTGTACTGCTTTTGGTATTTCCCAAAATACTTCGTTAACTAAGGCTTCAGGTTTCATTTCAGGATGGATTTGTCCTAATCCATATCCAACGATACAATTATATTCTAATTCAGTTGTAATGATTTTTTCACAAAGAGTACAATTGACAGAATAATTTTGTCTAGTTTTGACTAAAGCATTATTTTTTATTTGTTTGACAGTAACTTGTTTAAATTCAGCAGCTTGTAAATAAATGTCGTACATGTCTTGTCTCCAATCATATCCTTTTCTATCAATAAGAGATTTATCTTCTTCTGAGCTATAGTTTAATTCGGAATTACCATCACTGTATGAACGTTAGTACATATTTCTTCCATTTGATTCTGAGAGCGAATAATTTTCTTCATTAATGTAATTAGAGAATTCTTGATATTCTTCATTACATTCACAATAAGTATTTTCATTTGGAGTTGAAATATAGTTACCATAAGGGTTTACACAGTGAAAACAATTTTTGCAATACCAATGGAAATGGTAGTTAGTTTCGTTACAGGAGTAAGTATTTCTTCTATAATTATGATTATTAGCTAATCCGTTCTATTGTCATTTAGTTTAACATCCTGGCACATTAAGTATTGAAAAATGTATTTGAATTCATTTTAAATTATTAGTCGTGTCTTTATCTGAATCATAAGTTTCAATCATGTTAACAGGTACTAATCTTGAAAAGATATCAGCATTTTGGTATTTATTTCCTGCTCTGTGTTTAATTGAAAAATCATATCCTTGCTCTGTTAACAGTATAATCATATTTTTTTACGATATTTAGCTGAAGGCATTTATGTATGATGCATGTAATAAGTTTTTTATTACTATATTCTTCAACTATTTCTCATTCAATTTTATAAATCTTTCTATAAGCTCGACTTTCTTGAACTTAAGCCTAATTATCTTAGCTATAAGTTTAGCATTTTCTTTTCTAGTAAGACAAGCTTAAATTCCATCACTTTTTATAAAATCAAAAAAAAATATAAAAAAATAAATATAGTATTACACAACCTTATTTCTTTCATAAGAACTTTTTCAAATTTTTTTGGTTGATCATTAACAAGTTAATGATTTTTACTAAAAATATTTTTATTAATATATGTAAAAAATAAATATATAATTTGGGATATTGCCTAGAGTTTTGAATGAGTTGAGTTAACTCACAAGTCAGATAAGTTAA